AAGCAACACCTCCTCGTAATTCATCAGGTGAGGCACGAGGAGTGGAGGGAGTGTACTTGCTTTGCTTCGAGGAGAGAGGGAGGGTGAAGAAACACCTCTTTCAACTCCACTCAACCGCTGTCTCGTACCCCACGACACTCCCATCAGGTGGAGATCGCGAGCATGGAGGTGAAAGCCCAGCTGCTGGTGGTGGAGGGGAGATGTCCCATGAAGCATCGCCACATCTCTTAAGCCCGCTCAACCCCTGTCAACTGCTTTCAACCCCCCCAAAATATTGTAAACACCCCAAAACACTCCCGTAATGTGGCGATCACGAGCATGGAGGTGGATGGATGGCCGGTTGCTGGGGTGGAGTGGTCCTTGCGGCAACACCCCTCTTAAACCTGTTCAAACCCCTTCAACCAATTTCAACCGATATCAACCCCTTTCAACTGTTTTCAACCACTCCCATCATGTGGTGATAACGAGCATGGAGGTGGATGGCCAGCTGCTGGTGGTGGGTAGCGACGCCAGCAGCCCTGCTGTAGAGCAGGTGGGTGTAGCAGAGAAGGTGAGTGGTTCAGCAGAGCAGGTGAGTGGTGCAGCAGAGCAGGTGAGTGGTGCAGCAGAGCAGGTGAGTGGTGCAGCAGAGCAGGTGAGTGGTGCAGCAGAGCAGGTGAGTGGTGCGGCAGAGCAGGTGAGTGGTGCGGCAGAGCAGGTGAGTGGTGCAGCAGAGCAGGTGAGTGGTGCAGCAGAGCAGGTGAGTGGTGCGGCAGAGCAGGTGAGTGGTGCGGGGTGCGGCAGAGCAGGTGAGTGGTGCGGCAGAGCAGGTGAGTGGTGCAGGGTGCGGCAGAGCAGGTGAGTGGTGCGGCAGAGCAGGTGAGTGGTGCGGCAGAGCAGGTGAGTGGTGCGGCAGAGCAGGTGAGTGGTGCGGCAGAGCAGGTGAGTGGTGCGGCAGAGCAGGTGAGTGGTGCGGCAGAGCAGGTGAGTGGTGCGGCAGAGCAGGTGAGTGGTGCGGCAGAGCAGGTGAGTGGTGCGGCAGAGCAGGTGAGTGGTGCGGCAGAGCAGGTGAGTGGTGCGGCAGAGCAGGTGAGTGGTGCGGCAGAGCAGGTGAGTGGTGCGGCAGAGCAGGTGAGTGGTGCCGCAGAGCAGGTGAGTGGTGCGGCAGAGCAGGTGAGTGGTGCGGCAGAGCAGGTGAGTGGTGCGGCAAAGCAGGTGAGTGGTGCGGCAGAGCAGGTGAGTGGTGCGGCAGAGCAGGTGAGTGGTGCGGCAGAGCAGGTGAGTGGTGCGGCAGAGCAGGTGGGTGGTGCGGCAGAGCAGGTGAGTGGTGCGGCAGAGCAGGTGAGTGGTGCGGCAGAGCAGGTGAGTGGTGCGGCAGTGCAGGTGAGTGGTGCGGCAGAGCAGGTGAGTGGTGCGGCAGAGCAGGTGAGTGGTGCAGCAGAGCAGGTGAGTGGTGCGGCAGAGCAGGTGAGTGGTGCAGCAGAGCAGGTGAGTGGTGCAGCAGAGCAGGTGAGTGGTGCGGCAGAGCAGGTGAGTGGTGCGGCAGAGCAGGTGAGTGGTGCGGCAGAGCAGGTGAGTGGTGCAGCAGAGCAGGTGAGTGGTGCAGCAGAGCAGGTGAGTGGTGCAGCAGAGCAGGTGAGTGGTGCGGCAGAGCAGGTGAGTGGTGCAGCAGAGCAGGTGAGTGGTGCAGCAGAGCAGGTGAGTGGTGCGGCAGAGCAGGTGAGTGGTGCGGCAGAGCAGGTGAGTGGTGCAGCAGAGCAGGTGAGTGGTGCAGCAGAGCAGGTGAGTGGTGCGGCAGAGCAGGTGAGTGGTGCGGCAGAGCAGGTGAGTGGTGCGGCAGAGCAGGTGAGTGGTGCGGCAGAGCAGGTGAGTGGTGCGGCAGAGCAGGTGAGTGGTGCGGCAGAGCAGGTGAGTGGTGCGGCAGAGCAGGTGAGTGGTGCGGCAGAGCAGGTGAGTGGTGCGGCAGAGCAGGTGAGTGGTGCGGCAGAGCAGGTGAGTGGTGCGGCAGAGCAGGTGAGTGGTGCGGCAGAGCAGGTGAGTGGTGCGGCAGAGCAGGTGAGTGGTGCGGCAGAGCAGGTGAGTGGTGCGGCAGAGCAGGTGAGTGGTGCGGCAGAGCAGGTGAGTGGTGCGGCAGAGCAGGTGAGTGGTGCGGCAGAGCAGGTGAGTGGTGCGGCAGAGCAGGTGAGTGGTGCGGCAGAGCAGGTGAGTGGTGCGGCAGAGCAGGTGAGTGGTGCGGCAGAGCAGGTGAGTGGTGCAGCAGAGCAGGTGAGTGGTGCAGCAGAGCAGGGCACGGGGTGTGTGGGTGCTGGACTCGCTGCTGATAGCCTGGTGCTGGTGGTGGGGCGTGACGCCAGTAGCCCTGCTGTAGAGCACATGGGTGAGGTGACAGGGCATGGGGCGTGCCAGTGTGGTGGTCGAGGTGTGCCAGTAAAGAAAAATCTTCTACACCAACGAAGCAACCCAACGAAGGTGTAGACGACAAGCACGTCCGGAAAAAACCAGTCAAGATCGCTGAGGCTTACAACAAGAAGGGATGCGACGACGAGTATGATATGAAAGAAGAATGCCCCAGAGCAGTAAGAAAACACCTTTAGATAAGATTTGAATGGAAACGGAGCCTTGAGAGGTGGATAAAACAAAAGGACCAGGCGGGCATTGAACCCCGCTGATCATCTATGATAGGAGGTTTGTGCTACTGGTCCTGAAAGAAAATCGTTTTATTTGCGTTATGTCTCGATTGTGAAAATCAGCCATAGAGCGTTTTTCTCGTTTGATCAGTAGCCACGGCCATACAATCGCACATGGGTCGCGGAAAGCGCGAGGCGGAGGGCAATCGGAGCGGTAATGGAGGTCGGGGGAAATCGAAGCGGCACAAGTCGCGATACCTGAACGCTGTGAGCCTTTAAACTTATGTCGCGACGCATTAGTCAACATAAACCGCCGGCAGGCGTGTACCAATGTTTTTCTTGGCTGACAGACGAATAACGACGATAATCAGCGACAATTCTGCAGGCGCGTTCAGTCGCGTTTCGGTCGCGAGTCGCGGCAGCATCCGTTGCGCGTCGCCGCTGCTATGATCTTGGCGGCGTCGCCGCTGTGATCTCCGCGGCGGCGTGCGCTCACCAGCCCGATCCGCTCCACTTCCCGCCCTTCCTCTTCAACCCCTTCCCCCCCTTTCCTTTCGTGCCCTCTCCTCCCGCTCGCGCACACACCTCCGTCTTCCCTCCCCCCTTCTCTTCTCCTCCTCCCATCGTGTGCTCCCACGGCGCCGCCTCTCCCCTCTGGTCCTGAGATCGCCCTGATCACTTAGGTTTACACAGAGCAGATTTTTCCGCTGTCGCCTCTCCCCTCTGGTCCTGATATCGCTTTGAGCACTTGGTCTTACACAGAGCGGATTTTCCCGCCGTCGCCTCTCTCCTCTGGTCCTCACCCGTCCGTCCCGTGTCGCCCGCTGTCCCCCTTCCCCTCCCCCCACCCCTGCTGTCCCCCTTCCCCTCCCCCCACCCCCGCCGTCTCTCTTCCCTCCCACATCCCGGCCCACGAATCTCCGTTGCCATGCAACCAAAACCCGAAACTCTTGGTTGTTGCTCGCTCTCTCCCATGCACCCAAAACCCGAAACCCTTTGTTGTTGCTCGCTCTCTCCCATGCACCCAAAACCCCAACCTCGATCTCCTCTTTCGAAGTGGCGGCGGGCAGCAGCAGGCAGGGAGCGAGAGTGCAGGTGAAGGATCGATTGTTTCTTCCTTTGCTCCTTCACCCTAAACCCTATGATCCAGAATGGGGGGAAGGCGGCGCCCAGAATGTATGGCAGCAAGGGGGCTGGCAGGGGGAGGGATTGGAGGTGGTTTGCAACCGTTTCTTACTTCTGCTCCCCCCCCTTCTGCTCCTCTCCTCCTCTCCCTTCTGTGCCCCCACCTGCTGTTCCTCCTCACCCTTCTCCCCTCCCCCATTTCTCCTCCTCCCCCTTCTCCTCCTCCCCGTTCTTCTCCTCCCCCCTCTGCTCATCCGTCTTCTGCTCCTCCCCCCTCTGCTCCTTCTGCTCCGCCCCTCCCCCTCGTGCCCCTCCCCCTTCTGCTCCTCCCTCTCGTGCGCCTCAGAGTGGAGGGGGAGCGGGCCCCATCGCGAATGGCAACAGGGGGTGGCTGGTGTGGAGTGTGACCAGCAGGGAGAGAGAGCCTTGCGGGCTTGTTGTTGTTGGAGTCGAAACAAAGTAAATTGTTCCTTTGATCCTCCTCCTTCCCTCTTCGGCGCCTCCCTCTCGTGCGCCTCAGAGTGGAGGGGGAGCGGGCCCTATCGCGAATGGCAGCAGGGGGTGGCTGGTGTCGAGTGTGACCGGCAGGGAGAGAGAGTGCGGGCGGGAGATTGTGAACGTGCTCGATGAGGTGAGGCACGAGCACACAGTGAGGGAGAGGACGGGTGGGGGGGGGGGTGGTAAGAGGTGATCAGGAGATCAGCTTGTGAGGTGACATGCACAGGGGATCAGCTTGATGAGGTGAGGTGGCAAGGAGGTGAGTGGGGCGCACAGGCAAACGATAGAACCTGGAGGGTAGGTAGATAGATGACTGGGCAAGCACTGGGGAAAGTGGTTGCGGAGGGCCTATCTGACTGAGCTGTTTTTGCTTTTCTTCCTTCCATCTCCCCTGCTTGCCCCACACGCCGTTGTGCGGCGGCAAGCTGGTGCCCGTGAAGGCGCGGGCTGAGGGGGAGGCAAGCACTGGGGAAGGTGGCTGGGGAGGGCTTATCTGACTGAGCTGATGTTGCTTTCTCCTCTGTTCGCCCCACACACAGTGGTGTGACAAGCTGGAGGCAGCAAGGCGCAGAGGAACGGGTAGGGTGAGGCAAGCACTGGGGAAGGTGGCTGGGGAGGGCTTTTCTAACTGAGCTGATGTTGTTCCTACTCCTTCCATCTCCACTGCTTGCCCCACACACCGTTGAGCGACAATCTGGTGCCCATGAAGGTGCGGGCTGAGGGGGAGGCAAGCACTGGGGAAGGTGGCTGGGGAGGGCTTATCTGACTGAGATGATGTTGCTTTATCCCTGTTTGCCCCACACACAGTGGTGTGACAAGCTGGAGGCTGGCAAGGCGCAGGGGGAGGGGGAGGGGGAGGCACGGACTGGGGAAGGTGCATCTGCAGGGAAGGCGAAGGGGGGTTCGTCCATCGATGCGCTGCTGGCGAATGAAGTGGCAGCACTCAAGAAACAGGTGCGTGCGTGTGGAGAGGGGGTTGAGGAAACAGGTGTGTGTGTTTTGCAGCGGCTCACAGGTGCGTGGGATGGGTAGGTGGGTGCCTTTTCCCTCCTTTCCCCTTGTTGTTCCTTCACCCTCCCCTTATCTCCCTCCCACTCCCTCCCCTCGTATCCCTCCCTCTCCCTGTGTCCCCCAGGCTCGATTGCAATCGTGACCTCAGGCTACCAGGTGCCCCTGTTTTGAGACGTCTCAGGCTACCAGGTGCCCCTGTTTTGAGACGTCTCAGGCTACCAGGTGCCCCTGTTTTGAGACGTCTCAGGCTACCAGGTGCCCCTGTTTTGAGACGTCTCAGGCTACCAGGTGCCCCTGTTTTGTTCCCCTTGTGCATCCTCGCCTCCTTGTTCCCTCCTTTCTCTTCTCCCTCCCTTCCTTGTGCATGCCCCTCAGCCTCGGTTCATGAGTGTGTAGTCTGGGTGCAAGGCGCTGCTGTTCGCATAAATGCCCAGCACAAACACCCATCACTTCCCTCTCTCGCAATCCTCTTTTCCCTCCCTCTTCCTCCCCTTGCCCCTCGTCTTGTCCCTCCCCTTGTCCTGAACGCTCTCACCTGGTGACTTTTGAGTCGACTCAAAAGTCACCTGACTGAACGCTCTCACCTGGTCTCACTTCGGGGTGTGGAGTCTCGCTGGCTGCAAGGCGCTGCTGTTTGGACTCTTGCTGGCTGCAAGGCGCCGCTGTTTGCGAGAATGCTAAGTGGAAACCCTTATCGCTCCTCCTCTCTCTCCCATCGTCTTTCTCCCTCCCCTTGCCCCTACCGTTTGCCCTCCCCTCGCCCCTCCTGTTCGCCCGCCCCTTGACATCCCTCAGCCTCGGTTTGTGAGTGTGGAGTCTGGGTGCAAGGCACTGCTGTTTGAGAAAAAACGTTTTTTTTTTTTCCTTTGTCCCTCGTCTTGTCCCTCCCCTTCCCTCTCAGCCTCGGTTTGTGAGTGTGGAGTCTAGGTGCAAGGCGCCGCTGTTTCTGAGGATCCATCATCACCCCTCCCTCTCCCTCTCACTCCCCTTTCTCTGCTCGTCTTTCTCCCTCCCCTTGCCCCTGCTGTTCGCCCTCCCCTCGACATCCCACAGCCTTGGTTTGCGAGTGTGGACTCTGGGTGCAAGGCGCTGCTGTTCGTGAGAATGCTCAGTGCAATTTCCAATCACGTCTCCTCTCCCTCCGCTCGTCTTTCTCCCTCCACTCGTCTTTCTCCCTCCCCTTGCCCCTACCATTCGCCCGCCCCTTGACGTCCCTCAGCCTCGGTTCGTGAGTGTGGAGTCTGGGTGCAAGGCACTGCTGTTCGTGAGGATTAGAGAGGATGCCAGGAAGGGGGGGAAGGGAGAGAAGGGAGGAAAGCAGTTGGAGGAGGGAGAGGAGAAGGAGGAGGAGGGTGAGAAGGAGGAGGTGGGGAAGACGGAGGAAGGGGAAAAGGAGGAGGAGAAGGGTGAAGGAGACAAGGAGGGGAAGGAGGGGGATAAGGCCGGGGAAAAGGAGCAGGAGAAAGAGCAGGAGGAAGAGGTTACAGGAGGAGGAGAGAAGGAACCGGAGAAGGAGGGACAGGGAGGGGAGGGGGAGAAAGGGGAGGCAGGGGGAGAGCAGGGAAGGGTGTCGCCGTGTGAGTTGGCAGAGGCGGTGCTGCGGCATGCCAAGGCCACCCAGCAGTCAGCCACTCGGTGGGTGTGGGGTAGTGGGTGTGGGGCAGTGGGTGTGGGGCAGTGGGTGTGGGGCTTAGTTGGTACTTTACGTTTTTTTGGGTCACGTAAACGTAAACTTACGCTTGAGTTTACCTTTACGTTTTCTTACGTGTAATTTTACGTAAAGTCGCACGGGCAGGGCAAAAAAAGTTTTTTTGCCCGCGAAACGAAAAAATCTGACTGATATGAGGTGGGAGAGGCTGCTACATGTTTGTGTAGATTTGGGGCATCTGTAAGTTGATGTAATAATGTGCTAACATGCTTGGGCGTAGAAGAACCAAGCTAGTGATAGATTAGGTGCTTCCCATGCAGCCACTTAGTCCGATGATTTCTTATATTTCCGGGCAGTTAGAACTGTTTCTAGCTGACCGTAAACGTAAAGCCATTTTTAGCCCACGTAAGTAAACGTAAGTTTACTACGTAAAGTCACGTAAACGTAAACCACCGTAAACGTACAATACCAACTAAGGTGTGGGGCAGTGGGTGTGGGGCAGTGGGTGTGGGGCAGTGGGTGTGGGGCAGTGGGTGTGGGGCAGTGGGTGTGGGGCAGTGGGTGTGGGGCAGTGGGTGTGAGGCAGTGGGTGTGGGGCAGTGGGTGTGGGGCAGTGGGTGTGGGGCAGTGGGAGTGAGGCAGTGGGTGTGGGGCAGTGGGTGTGGGGCAGTGGGTGTGGGGCAGTGGGTGTGGGGCAGTGGGTGTGGGGCAGTGGGTGTGAGGAAAGCACGTCTCATCACTTCACCCCCCTGCCCTTGTCACTTCACCCCCCTGCCCTTGTCACTTCACCCCCCTGCCCTTGTCACTTCACCCCCCTGCCCTTGTCACTTCACCCCCCTGCCCTTGTCACTTCACCCCCCTGCCCTTGTCACTTCACCCCCCTGTGCTGGTCACTTATCCTGCCTACCTGTAGTGAACTTGTGCCAGTTTACTTCTTTCTCCCCCGCTTTGATTCAATTCTCACTCTCCCTTCAGTTTCTGTCACTCATTATCCCCTACGTTTGCACCTGCCCTGCCCACCCCTACATACACCACCCCTTACATACACTGCCCTGGCTCCCACTCTGGTCAACATCTTGACATACGTAGTTCAGGAGGACGGCCCCGGACCACCTGGATCATCTGGATCACATTCCTTGCAACGCTTCTGCTTTGCAGTGCCCAAGATACCCGAGTACTTCACTGTATGGCACTCCTTCTCACACTCTCCTTCTCACACCCTCCTTCTCTCACTCTCCTTCTCACACTCTCCTTCTGTGTGCAAATCAAAACAAGCAGCGCATATCGTCTCTCTCATCCCCCCTTGCTCTCCCTTCTGCTCTCCTCTCCCTTCCCCCCTTACTCCCCTCCCCCTCCTCAGGCGGCAAGGCGACAACATGAGCGTAATCGGAAAGGTGATGGCAGAAAACTTGCTTGTGATTGGTTAATAAGCAGAAATGGGGTACAAGAGAGGGGAAGAAAACCCCCCTAAAATCCTGAAAAAACCCCCCCACAGCCCCCCCAAGGCCCCCCTAAGGCCCCCCTACCCCCCAATTCTCCTCACAGCCCCTCACAGCCCCCCTCGAACCGCCCTGGAAATCCCTGGGCATGGCCCATGATGCATATCTGCTCCCTGTCATATCACATTCCTGCTTCTGCTTCTACTTTGTGCTTCCTATCTATCATATCCCTCCCGGGCATGGCATGGCATGGCATGGCATGGCCAACCAGGGAGGGGCGCACAGCACAGAGAGCCAGGAGCTCATCCACCACTCCCTCTTCTGTTCTGCTTCTGCTCCCCACTCCCCTCCCTTTTCCCTCACCCCTCCCCCCTTTCTCTGCCCGCCTGCGTATATAAGAACAAGCACATACATTCATATTCGCTAAGTCATCTATCACTCTACGCGTCGTAGCAAATAGCCTCGTGTTGTCGACAGGAGAAAATGGCACATGCGCTCCCTCCTTGTGCGTCTGTTTCTCTCTCTTCTTCTCCCTCATGTCCTGCCCTGCGCATGGCTGAACACAAGCAGGTGGCAACACATCTACTCCCTGTTTCCGTTTCTGCCACTCTTTCATATCCCAAACCTGGCCCAAACCAAACCTGCACTCCCCCCATCCCCCTGCACATATAATAACAGGCTCATACATTTATGTTCCTAACGTAATCAGATTCATCAATCCCTACCACTCTACACATTGCAAGCCAAGTGTCTTCGTCTTGGCGACAGGAGGGAAGCTGGCACCTGCGCAAGGGGAGGGGGGGAGTTGGGGTGGGGGAGAGGGGAAGCGGAGCAAGTGAGCGGGGGGAGCAGGGCAAGTGAGGGGATGGCAGGAGGTGTGAGGGCATGGTGGGATGGCAGGTGTGAGGGATATGGCAAGGTGTGCAGTGCATGCTCTGGGGCGACTCACAACGCACCTGGGGCCGGTTTGGTGGGCCATGCAGCATGGCATGGCGCTGCGCTCCCTCCTCCTGCTTCTGTTTCTCTCCCTTGTTCTCTCTCATGTCCCGCGCATGGATGAATGAGGGACGGCCGCACAAGCAGCTGGCAACGCATCTGCTCCCTGTGCAAAGTATCTTCATCTTGGCGACAGGAGAAACTGGCACCTGCGCAAGGGGAGGGGAGGAGTTGGGGTGGGGGAGCAGAGCAAGTGAGCGGGGGGAGCAGGGCAAGTGAGCGGGGGGAGCACCCTAAACCCCCTTACCCCCTTACCTGGCAGGAAATGAGAAGGCACCATGCAGGGAATGCAACCCACCAGCCAGGGCATGAACAGGCACCATGCAGGGCATGTGAAGGCACCGTGCAACATGCGAAGGCACCTTGCAGGGCATGAGAAGGCACCTGGCAGAAGGGGGAAAGTGGGGAAAGAGGGGAGGGGGTGGGTGAGACAAGCTCAAATGGGCAGGCGCTGCACTGGCAGCTGGCAGAAAGGGGAGGGGAGAGGGTGGTTTGGACGTCTCACAGTTCCCCATGCCCCCTTACACCCCCCCCTTGAGCAAAGAATGCACACAGGAACAACAAACAAGCAAGCAAAACAAACTAAAACAAACAAACAAACAAACAAACAAACAAACAGGAAATTTTGGGATGGAAAGAGGGGACGGGGTGAGTGAGACCTCTTCAATCAACATGCGCTGCACTGGCACCTGCTGGAAACGGGAGGACAGAGGGGAGGTGTTGAGTGTGACACCTCAAAACATTATGCCTTGCACTGGCACCTGCTGGAAAGGGGAGGAAAATGGCATCATGCAAGGAATGAGAAGGCATCATGCAGGGAACGGCAAGGCACCTTGAGGGAATGAGAAGGCACATGATTTTTATGTGCCCTAGTACATTGTTTTGCTTTTGTGTTCATACATTCATGCATCGTTCTGGTTCGCTCTTACCACGTGGGCGTGCGCATCAGCCTGCCCCACCCCGTGCTGCACTGTCACGCCCCACTGGCAGCTGCTTAAACACGGGGAGGGAGGGAGGGAGGGAGGAGAGGGGAGGGGAGGGGAGATGAGGCATTGGTCAAATGACTCAAAACAGAGGGGAGAGAGGAGGGGATTGGTCAAATGACTCAAAACAAAGAGGAGAGAGGAGGGAATTGGTTAAATGACTCAAAACAAATAGGAGAGAGGAGGGGATTGGTCAAATGACTCAAAACAAAGAGGAGAGAGGAGGGGATTGGTCAAATGACTCAAAACAGAGGGGAGAGAGGAGGGGATTGGTCAAATGGCTCAAAACAAAGAGGAGAGAGGAGGGGATTGGTCAAATGACTCAAAACAAAGGGGAGAGAGGAGGGGATTGGTGAAATGACTCAAAACAAAGAGGAGAGAGGAGGGGATTGGTCAAATGGCTCAAAACAGAGGGGAGAGAAGAGGGGATTGGTCAAATGACTCAAAACAGAGGGGAGAGAGGAGGGGATTGTTCAAATGATTCAAAACAGAGGGGAGAGAGGAGGGGATTGGTCAAATGACTCAAAACAAAGAGGAGAGAGGAGGGGATTGGTCAAATTACTCAAAACTGAGGGGAGAGAGGAGGGGATTGGTCAAATGAGTCAAAACAAAGAGGAGAGAGGAGGGGATAGGTGAAATGACTCAAAACAAAGAGAGAGGAGGGGATTGGTCAAATGACTCAAAACAAATAGGAGAGAGGAGGGGATTGGTCAAATGACTCAAAACAAAGAGGAGAGAGGAGGGGATTGGTCAAATGGCTCAAAACCGAGGGGAGAGAAGAGGGGATTGGTCAAATGACTCAAAACAGAGGGGAGAGAGGAGGGGATTAGTCAAATGATTCAAAACAGAGGGGAGAGAGGAGGGGATTGGTCAAATGACTCAAAACAAATATGAGAGAGGAGGGGATTGGTCAAATGACTCAAAACAAAGAGGAGAGAGGAGGGGATTGGTCAAATTACTCAAAACTGAGGGGAGAGAGGAGGGGATTGGTCAAATGAGTCAAAACAGGGGGGAGAGAGGAGGGGATTGGTCAAATGACTCAAAACAAAGAGGAGAGAAGAGGGGATTGGTCAAATTACTCAAAACAGAGGGGAAGAGAGGAGGGGATTGGTCAAATGACTCAAAACAAAGAGGAGAGAAGAGGGGATTGGTCAAATTACTCAAAACAGAGGGGAGAGAGTAGGGGATTGGTCAAATGACTCAAAACAGGGGGAAGAGAGGAGGGGATTGGTCAAATGTCTCAAAACAAAGAGGAGAGAGGAGGGGATTGGTCAAATGACTCAAAACAGAGGGGAGAGAAGAGGGGATTGGTCAAATGACTCAAAACAAAGAGGAGAGAGGAAGGTATTGGTCAAATTACTCAAAACAAAGGGGAGAGAGGAGGGGATTGGTCAAATGGCTCAAAACAGAGGGGAGAGAAGAGGGGATTGGTCAAATGACTCAGAACAGAGGGGAGATAGGAGGGGATTGGTCAAATGATTCAAAACAGAGGGGAGAGAGGAGGGGATTGGTCAAATGACTCAAAACAAAGAGGAGAGAGGGTGGGATTGGTGAAAAGACTCAAAACTGAGGGGAGAGAGGAGGGGATTGGTCAAATGAGTCAAAACAAAGAGGAGAGAGGAGGGGATAGGTGAAATGACTCAAAACAGAGAGAGAGGAGGGGATTGGTCAAATGACTCAAAACAAATAGGAGAGAGGAGGGGATTGGTCAAATGACTCAAAACAAAGAGGAGAGAGGAGGGGATTGGTCAAATGACTCAAAACAGAGAGGAGAGAGGAGGGGATTGGTGAAATGACTCAAAACTGAGGGGAGAGAGGAGGGGATTGGTCAAATGACTCAAAAAAAAGAGGAGAGAGAGGAGGGGATTGGTGAAATGACTCGAAACAAAGAGGAGAGAGGAGGGAATTGGTTAAATGACTCAAAAGGAATAGGAGAGATGAGGGGATTGCTCAATTGACTCAAAACAGAGGGGAGAGAGTAGGGGATTGGTCAAATGAATCAAAACAGGGGGAAAAGAGGAGGGGATTGGTCAAATGACTCAAAACAAAGATGAGAGAGGAGGGGATTGGTCAAATGACTCAAAACAGAGGGGAGAGAGTAGGGGATTGGTCAAATGACTCAAAACAGGGGGAAGAGAGGAGGGGATTGGTCAAATGACTCAAAACAAAGAGGAGAGAGGAGGGGATTGGTCAAATGACTCAAAACAGAGGGGAGAGAG